AGAATTTGGGGATGTGAGAATTTGGGGATATGAGAATTTGTGGATGTGAGAATTTAGGGATGTGAGAATTTGGGGATGTAAGAATTTGAAGATGTGAGAATTTGTGGATGTGAGAATTTGGGGATGTGAGAATTTGGAGATGTGAAAATTTGGGAATTTGGCAATTTGGATTTTGTTCCGAATTTAAGGATTTGGAAATTTCAAGTTTTGAAAATTTGAAGATCTAGGATTTTACAAACTTGCAAAATGAAAATGCACAAATTTGCCAACTAACAATTTAGAGATTTTTAATTTCATAATTAATTTGTGTCATACAGTGTCACATATCGAAATACGAAAATGAACCAATTCGTAAATGAAAGAATTCGGTACTTTCCTATCACAATTCATTGTCAGCGTCATTGATACAGTAATTCATACTATCATCAGTTTTTATGTTGTTTATTATAATCGATAAAAGCTGATTCACGATTGCAATGCAATCAATAGCCAGACTGTTTCGCGTTAATCTGCAAAGTGACGAAAGTGGTCGGTGACGCATCCGCGCGTTGGCGAAAAACGGCGTGACTCTAGAAAATGGAGTCAATTAGAGCTGGCTAGCTACGGTTGCGAACTTTTACTGCTGAAAATTGACGGTTTCTCCGTTTTAGCATGTTCGCGTCGCTGTGTTTACGAGCTTAAGAAAAAGTGGATAACGTGGGAGATCCCTGGGTTCGTTAAGCGTAATTACGCTACCGAGTTACGAGATGAGCTTAAAGCTATTTTCGTTGCAACGTCCAATAAACTGAGACAAAGAATGTTTACTTTGTAATTGTACAAAGTTACACAAAATCTACCGTGTGCAATTATGTTGTGTTTTGTTATCAACGAAATAAAGAATCATTAAGTGTGATTTTTTAAGATTAAGGTTCTTATGAGGTTTATATGAGAGTAATATTATGAGATTATCAGATCAAATATATGGAGACAATCTTATGAGATTTTCCGTTTATATGAGGATAATCTTATGAGACTTTCGATTTAAATGTATGAGGACAATTTTTATGAGATTATCAATTTATATGAGAACAATTATATGAAGTTATTAAGTCGTGTTAAAATAATCGTATAAGAACAATGTTATTAATTTATGAATTTATACTGGAACGAGTCTTCAAGACTATTAATTTATTCGATGCAACCCTATGTAACTATTAATTTATTTCAAGGCAATTCTACAATATTATTAGTTTGTATGAAAATGATACTATTATAATACTATATAATATTGTTATACTAAAACAGTACTACAAAATTATTAAACTATACAAATACGTACTATAATATACTATATCATTACATACTGTAAGGCACCATATCGTATCATAACATACTATATTTTAACGTACCATATTGTAACATACCATACCATATGTATATCATAACATATGATATCATAGCGCACTATATTATTACATACTGTATCATAACATACTACATGTATTTTAACGTACTATATCTTAACGTACCATAACATAACATGTCATATCACAACATACGATATCATAACATGTGTCATAACATATCATAGTGCACCATATTATAACATTCTATATCTTAACATACCATAACATAACATGTCATATCACAACATACGATATCATCACATATGTCATAACATATCATAGCGCACTATATTATAACATACTGTATCATAACATACTATATGTATTTTAACATTCTATATCTTACCATATCATACCATAACATGTCATATGACAACATACGATATCATCACATGTGTCATAACATATCATAGCGCACCATATTATAACATACTATATCATAAAATATGTCATAACACATCATAGCGCAACCATATTATAACATACTATATCATAACATACTATATCTTACCATACCATACCATAACATGTCATATCACAACATACGATATCATCACATATGTCATAACATATCATAGCGCACTATATTATAACATACTGTATCATAACATACTATATGTATTTTAACATTCTATATCTTACCATACCATACCATAACATGTCATATGACAACATACGATATCATCACATGTGTCATAACATATCATAGCGCACCATATTATAACATACTGTATCATAACATACTATATGTATTTTAACATTCTATATCTTACCATACCATACCATAACATGTCATATCACAACATACGATATCATAACATATGTCATAACATATCATAGCACACCATATTATAACATACTATATGTATTTTAACATACTATATCTTACCATACCATACCATAACATGTCATATGACAACATACGATATCATCACATGTGTCATAACATATCATAGCGCACCATATTATAACATACTGTATCATAACATACTATATGTATTTTAACATTCTATATCTTACCATACCATACCATAACATGTCATATCACAACATACGATATCATCACATGTGTCATAACATATCATATCACACCATATCCATACTCAGTCCTTCCAATTTACAACAACTGCAATACTAGTCCATAAACCCAACTCAGTCGCTCAGCTACAACGAAGAACACTCAACCAGTCACGTGAGCGAATACTATTTCTCAGAACCGTACGATTCTCGATCGCGGTATCAAGAAGCCAGCGACCGGCGGCACAGAAATTCGAAAAACGGAATACTTAATCTCTGGCTGCATATACGCATTTATCTGGCGGCTTACGTAAGGTATTTGTGTCGTACAAAGAGTCACCTTTGCTGATCGCAAAACAAATTGTTAATCATCGAAATACGGCGTATCTTGGCGTTACGTAAATGGTTTACGCATGGTAGACACCCGCACACATGCAGAGGGCCCCGCGTGGCCGCTTCTTTCGCCGGCATTTCAGAAGGACGAGCAATCTTTATTATTCCCCGCACGCAGTCGCCCAAACGTGCACTCTTGCCAAAAATCCTGCACCATCTTTCCAGACTTATGCCACGCGACATCGAGTCTATGATTACGTCGATCCTTCTTCTACTTTCGTGAGATACTTCGGGACGTCGCGAGAATTCGAGATATTTGCAAGCAGGAAACATTTTACGAATTTTGACTTCAAATAGAATGAATTGTAGGCTTTTTAAACGATAGGTGTTTACAGTGGATATTTTAATTTAGAAAACTAATCGAGATTCGAAATATTTCTTCGTTTTTTAATAGAATATTCTGTTTGCAATACACGCAAATTTGATTTAACTCTTCTGATCTAACCCGAGAAATTAAAGTTTGATTAAAAATAAGGTTACAGACATGTGAAGAAATTGTGATATTAAATTTGATACATTTTTGTGAAATTTTGAGCCCACATAAGTCTTGCCGATCACAGTTGTTTTTATTTGTCAAACGATACTGAACTTGATAAACCTAGGAAGAAAGGTTCATCTTCATCGCCTTCATCAATGTGACTTCACATACCCCCAATACTTCACTATCTTCCTCCCCGCAACTCAATCTTATTTATTATTTTCCCTGTTTACACTGTCTTCTGGCGCGTAATCGCGGGTCGAGTAAAAATAACGCACGATTGCCGTATCAATATTTGTTTAATTAATCGTCGGTTATCCCAGGAGCGAGTATTTTCCCGCATTTTTTCCGCCTGGGAGCTAGACCCTCTGACATAACTCGCCGCGAGTTTCACGAGACCCATCAGGTTTTCGCAATCTCACGGTAAACGCGCGATTTATGGAATCACTCGGAACTGGAGTCGCTGGTGTTCGGCTCGGCATGCGGGATGAGAGAATGTCCCCGTGGGGATGGCAACACTTTCGGGACGCGGTTGCGACACTTGGTAAAAATGTGGCTAGAGCCGTTCCGCTGGAGGACTATGTTTGGAAGCGTTACGTAAAGTCTCCTCCGCCTGGCGATCTATTACGAGGGGGACCTTATTAGATCAACGATGGAAAGCCATCCGCTTGTAAAATCGCTGTCGACCAGATACGATGTACAGTCGAGAGCAAATCTGACTTCTCTAGAAAAAAATGTAGCAAGGTAGAGGTACTCTGTTCTGTGTTATTCGCAGAGTTTTGGGGATTCGATATTTTGTGAACAAGTTAGGAATTTGGCAGTTGAGGTGTTTCACGTTTGGTGATTGAAGGTGTAGGAATAAGAAGATTTAGAGATTTGAGGAAGTAGAGAATTGAGTTTAGGACTTGACGAGGTATAGATTTGAAAATTTAGGGATTTGGAAGGCTAGGAATTTGGGGAGCAAGACAATTTAGGGGTGTGAAGATATTTGGGGGCGTAAAATATTGAGGGTGTAGGAATTTGGGGACCAAGAAATTTTAGGATGTAGGAATTTGGGGACGTAAGAAATTGGGGGAGTGGGAATTGTGGAAAATCTAGGAATTCGGGTATCTAGGGATTTGGGAATGAAGAAATTCGAGAATTTGAGTATTTGTAGATATAATTAATTTAAGTATCTAAGTAATTTAATGATTTACTTCTAAAACTTCCAAATCATAAAATTCACAAGTTTTTCAATTTTACAAAAAAATCACAAAAATTAATTGCCTATGACTATTAGTTGCCAAAAACAGTTTTTCCCAAAAAAATACAATTTAAATTAATAACAGGTTGTATTAGATAAATACAAAATCTGTTCAGTCCATAAATTGAAGTAAAAAAAAGATACATTGCACACTTTTTAACGTAAATTTCATCTTTTAGCCGGAGTTTCACAAATTATCGTTTTGTTCCACTAGGCACCGTTCCAAGAGCAGAGTAGTATGCACTGCTTGCCAGTGATTTCATGCGATCGATATCGTCGATCTTTTTACCGTGCATATTCTATTTGGAGCTAATTTCGTGTGATTATAATTCTTGAACTTGGTAACGTATTCCGGCGTTCCTTTCTTGAAAATTTGAGGAGAAGTTATGTCAGCAGTCTATTAATTGATTACATCGAAATCTATGTACATTCTACGTATTATACAGATTCAATAAAAAAAATGGTATCGATATGTTTTCATTATTTATTATTCGTAAATCATATAGTATTATGATTATATTACAGAGCGTTGTTAATGTAATTATACTGATTCGTTTGCAACAAGTTAAAACATAATATTTTTATTATTATCGTGACGAAGACAGTAACAACAACAATAACAACGACAATGTAGACGATAATAAAGATGATAACAGTGGTAGGAATAATGACAACGAAAATAATAATGGCGACGAGAACAAAAACGATAACAGCAAGAAAGACAATAAAGACTGAAAAATACTATGAAGATAATAATATCAATTCTACTGTTATTGGAAATAACGATGATAACGGCAACAATGACAATGGCAAAAAATAACAGAAGCAATTATGAGCGATAACGAGGCAATTATAATGACAACAATAATGGCAATACAAATGACAACAAAAATAGCAGTAGCATTAACAATAGTAATAACAATAGCATTAACAATAGCAATCACAAAAGCAGTAACAATAGCAGTAACAACAGTAATGACAATAGCAATGACAATAGCAATGACAATAGCAATGACAATAGCAATGACAATAGCAATGACAATAGCAATGACAATAGCAATGACAATAGCAATGACAATAGCAATGACAATAGCAATGACAATAGCAATGACAATAGCAATGACAATAGCAATGACAATAGCAATGACAATAGCAATGACAATAGCAATGACAATAGCAATGACAATAGCAATGACAATAGCAATGACAATAGCAATGACAATAGCAATGACAATAGCAATGACAATAGCAATGACAATAGCAATGACAATAGCAATGACAATAGCAATGACAATAGCAATGACAATAGCAATGACAATAGCAATGACAATAGCAATGACAATAGCAATGACAATAGCAATGACAATAGCAATGACAATAGCAATGACAATAGCAATGACAATAGCAATGACAATAGCAATGACAATAGCAATGACAATAGCAATGACAATAGCAATGACAATAGCAAACACTATAGCAATTACAATAGCAATTACAATAGCAATGACAATATCAAACACTATAGCAATGACAATAGCAATTACAATAACAATGATAATAGCAAACACTATAGCAATGACAATAGCATTAACAATAGCAATCACAAAAGCAGTAACAATAGCAGTAACAACAGTAATGACAATAGCAATGACAATAGCAATGACAATAGCAATGACAATAGCAATGACAATAGCAATGACAATAGCAATGACAATAGCAATGACAATAGCAATGACAATAGCAATGACAATAGCAATGACAACTATGACAACAGCTATGACAATAGCAATGACAATAGCAATGACAATAGCAATGACAATATCAATGACAATATCAATTACAATAGCAATGACAATATCAATTACAATAGCAATGACAATAGCAAACACTGTAGCAATTGCAATAGCAATGACAATAGCAAACACTATAGCAATGACAATAGCAATGACAATAGCAGTAACAAAGCAGTATCTATAGCAATATCAATAGCAATTTCAACAGTAATATCAATATGAATAACAACAACAATAGCACTAACAATTGCAAAAGCAACAGCAACAGAACGCAAGTAACATCATCAATAAAAATAAAAATAACAATATTAGTAGGAATAACAAATCGGATGACAATAACAACAATATTTTGCTCATACTGTCGCTCAATCTCATGTCCACTGTGATTTAGCTGTAACGTTAAAAGACAGGTTCTTGAAAAAAGTGCAGTATGCGCGATTATCTAACAGCAGTCGCAAACATGTCGATAATACACGATGATAATCTCAGATCGACGATCAAGTTTCGAATTAACCTTCATCACGTTTTGACTGATCAATGAACACCGATGACTCAGTTTTTGGAAGGTGACCAAAAATTTCCGCTGTCACCGTTTCCGTTTCCTCGTTCAAGGTATCAAAGAAGAAAATTGCACGTCAAGGAAATCGCGAGTTCAACGACGCACGTTACAATACGGTTTATCGCCGCGTGACGTGTACTCGTAGTTGATTCGGCGAGGAAAAAAGAGCGGTCGCGATAAACAGCTATATAGGGAGAGGGTATCGCCGATCGGATCGCGGTGAACCGTCGTCGATTAAAAATAAAATGTAGCCGCTTCTCGGTAAACACCGGGAACCTTTATGTAATGAATGAGCGTGAATTAACAGAGCGTCAACGGGTAGGGAGATCGAGTTTAGACGATACAACTCGAACCCGCTCGATACGCATACATGTCGCATGTGTAGACTAATAGTACTCGAACATGACTTCGTTCTTAACGTTTGAAAATTGGACGGAGAATTTTTATCAAGGTAGTCAGCAATGTGTGAGAAGGCATTTTTATTATTAAGGTTGAATTGTTAGCCATGCTTGGGTGTCTCATGCAATTTCCAAATTCCCCAATTTCCCAATTTCTTAATTCTCCAATTTCCTAAATCTCCAATTTCACAATTTCCCAATTTCCCAATTTCCCAATTCCCCAATTTCCAACTTCCAAATTCTCAAATTTTCAAATTTTCAAATTCCCTAATTTCCAAATTTCCAAATTCTCAAATTTCTATTTTCCCCAATTCCTAAATTCTCAATTTTCCAAATCTCTAAATTTCCCAATTCTCAAATTCCCAAATTCGCTTATTCTCTTATTCTCTCATTCCCCCATTTCCCTATTTGCCCATTCCACCATTCCCCCAATCACCACATTCATAATTCTCCAATTCCCCAATTCCCAAACTCCCAAATTCCTTAATTCTCAAATCACCAAATTCCCCCATTTCCAACGTCCCAGTTCCCCATTTCCCCAATTTCTAAATTCCCAAATCCCTATTTTCTCCAATTCCTAAATTCCCAATTTCTCATTTCCCAAATTCTCACATTTCCAAATTCCCAAATTCTCAAATTCCTCAATTCTTAAATCACCAAATTCCCCCACTTCCAACGTCCCAATTCCCCATTTCCCCAATTTCTAAATTCCCAAATCCCTATTTTCTCCAATTCCTAAATTCCCAATTTCCCATTTCCCAAATTCCCAAATTCTCACATTTCCAAATTCCCAAACTCCCAAATTCCCAAATTCCTAAATTCTCAAATCACCAAATTCCCCTATTCTTAATTTCCCAATTCCGCAATGCCCAAATGCCCAAATTAACAATTATTTATTCGATAACACACATTATATTTCAGCAAACTTCAGTTGAACGTACAAATATAAAACGTCGCATTTTTATTATAAAGTGGATCGCCATGTCAGCCATATTTGGGTGACGCTCTAATTTATTCTTGAACTGATCTCCCAATTTATGAAAAAAATTCTTCATTTCTTAGTAGTGAGTATCTCTATTCGATGTTACTTATTTTAGTAAACAACCTTTTTATACATAAAAGTGGGACGAAGCATCTTTATTATTAAATTGACCGACATGTCAGCTATGTTCGGGTGACGCGCTAATTTATTCTTGAACTGGTCTTGTATTTTATGAGGAACATTTTTAAATTCTGTGTAGTAAATACCGTTATTTATTTGATAATTTATATTATATTTTAGTAAACATTCTAACTTATTAAAATTACACGAAGTATTTTTATTATTAATTTGATAGCCTTGTCAGCCATATTTGGGTACTTTATTCCTGAACTAGGTCATCTATTTTTTGAGAAACATTATTAATTTCTGAATAGTAAATATCGTTATTTGATAACAGATATATTTTACTGAAGTCCATTTATAACGAATAAAAATTAGACGATGTATTTTTATTGTTAAGTTGACGGCCATGTCAGCTACGCTTGGGTGACGCACTAATTTATTCTTGAACTGGTCTTCCATTTTGTGAGAAATGTCCATAATTTCTGAGTAAAAATATCGTTATTATTGTTGTAGTTATTTTTTGTTATTATATTGCTTATCGTTATATTTGTATTATATTTTATTAACCTTGTTATTTCAACTATAGTTAGATACGTTTATAATAATGTATTTATAACAAAGTTTGATATTCATCCATCCAACATAGATAATAAACTTCTGAATTATATAAAAGTTACGTCAACGTATTAATAATTTTATTATACATTTTTGATAACAGCAAAAAAGTCTTACGTAAAATCTCAATAAGTCGAGCAAAATAGTAACAGAATTAAATAGTTGAAAATATGTATAATAAAAAGAATGTTGTAAAAATTGTGTATCAGGTTCGTTGAAAACAAAATTAGCTCTGATTTTCAACGAATTTCAACTGAAATTATATAATCATCGAAATTATATAATTATATAATCAATAGCAGACAATCATTGAAAATTATTTTTAAAACGTTATCAAAGCCAAATGCGTAAAACGAAATATAATTAAGTTATATTGCACATCGTTCGAACACCTCCCTTTATCGAATTAATATTTTAATTAACCTTCGCTGTTAATTCACACAGGCATTCTTACATTTTTCAAAAGATAAATATAATTCAGATGAAAAATTTGTTGGTTTATGAAGTATTTGATTGTGTGTAAAATACTAAAAAAAAAAAATAATAAAAATAAGAATCAATTTTTCTTTGAGTTAAATCTCTTTTGCGAATGGCTTAAACAAGAAACAGTCAACTTTGCAACGTCGAAAGTCTGACACGGATGACATAATACATTTACTTCGTGGTGTATAAATTTAAAACCTGTAATTCAACAAAAAAGTTTCATGAAAATAATTTAACAAGTAACTGTTTAATGATAATGTTTGGTAAACTATACTTTACTGATACTGTTTAATAAGTTTCACGAAAATGTTTAATAAGGTACAGTTTGAAAAAAGTATTTAATAAAGTACAACTAAATGAAAATATTTAATAAACTACAATTTAATGAAAATATTCAATAAAGTACAACTGAATGAAAATGTTTAATAAAAAACATTTAACTGTACCTCAAGAAAAAATTTGAATTCTACAGTTTCATGAAAAAAATTAATAAATTCAAACTTCGATTATTATTCTTAACATAAAATATCCAATTGCCAATTACAGCTAGAAATACTCGAATTCAAACCTTATAAAAAACCATGCAGCCATATTTCACTATTGATATCAATATTATTTCAATACAAAATCTTAACATAATTCACAAAAATTTATATCAAAGCCTAAACACATGGAACAAAATAATTTTATCTTTATTAACAATGAAAGGTGTCATACAAAAAATTCACAAAATATCAATTTCCTTAAAAATGAGTTAACTCAACACATCAAAGCTGTATCTCACATATGTATTATTTTAATTTGAATTGAAAAACTTTCTAAAAATAATTGTTCAGTCCCCATCAGAAAATACATTTAAAATTTGACGTGGTAAATTATTAACTGTATGGTAAATTGTTTATGGTATATAGTAACTGAATAAAATATATATGCGAGTGGTAAATCGTAATCGAATTGAGTCGACGCCACCGAGTTTTATTCTCGGAGCGGTAAACAATACGTTTTACTAGAGAGCACCGATCGGTTAGAGTAGCCCGTAGAATCAGCATTATGTAATATATTTTAGATAGAATTCGTACCTTACATAATTGCGTTGCGCTCGATTGGAGTTCGCGATAGTAGCCAACTGGGGACTAACACCGAGTCAAGAGTTTCCTGCCTTGCGGCGGATCTTATATCGGCGCTTGAACACCTTTTGTTCGCGAGCCTATGAAAGCTTTACAAACTTATTTTTCTCCAGTTGTATAGGGCTGTAATTTTACATAAATTATTGGTATTTGTTACAATATTTTATTGATATTAGATATTTCAGACTGTAAGACTGACGGTTAGTTTGAGTCTCAATTTATTTTAGTTGCAATTTCTGTGAAATAATATTACGTTTAGTATTGGAGATATTATGATTGATTATGTAAGTTAATTTACAAGTTTGAGGGTTTAAAAATTTAGAAAATTTCAATTCTACATTATAGTAAATACAATGAGAATTTTACAAGAATTATAAGTTTTAGAATTATACATTTAGAATTTGGAAAGTTGAAATTCTGAAAATTTCAAATTGAAAGCTTGGTAATTTACAAAACTAAAGCTAAAGGTTTAAGATTTTTAAATTTCTAAATTTTCGATTTATCAAATTTTTTAATTGTGAAAATATGAAAGCTGGTAATGAAAATTAGTAATGAAAAATTTGGAAATACAGGAATTTAGTGATCTGGTAATTTAATTTCAAAATATATAACTGTACAAAGTAAAGAATTTGCAAACTTAAAAATATAAAAATTTAGAAATTTAGAAACTTGAAAATGTGCAAATGTGAAATCTCTAAATTTTCAAATAACAAATGACAAATGCATAATTTACAAATATAAGAATGTAGAAATTTCTAAATGTAAAAATATAGAAATTTCGGGACGTAGAAATTTGAAAAATTTTCAGATTGCGAAATGGGTCCATGAACAGACTTAAGTGCCCTCCATTTGCACAGTTGATCGCCCCTCGAGAGCCCAATCGCTCATTGCTGCCAA